TACGTGCCCTTCTCTCAGAATAAATCTAGAATCTGACCACCTTAACCGCTACCACTCTGACCCAAACCCCATCACCCCACACCTGGATTACTCCAACAGTCCTGCACCTTATCTTTCTGCCTATGGAGCTGAAGCAACCAGCAGCTAGGAAATAAGTCCTGCCAAAAAAATCCTGCTAGGAAATAAGTCATGCCAAGGCATCCCTCTGCTCAAAACCTTCTGATGGCTCCCATCTCATTCAAAGTAAAAACCACAGTCCCTACCGTGGCCTCCAACGCCCTCACATCTGACCCCTTTACTGCTCTAACTTCATCTCTTATGACCCTCACCACTACTTACTGTGCTGCAGACACACTGATCTATTTGCTCCTCCTAAAACACACCAGCACATGCATAGAGCACATCACTTCATCCTGCTTTGGAATACTTGTACGTACTTACTATTCACTCTGCCTGGAATGCTTGTCCCTGGATAGCTGCATGAGTCGTCTCTCATACATTTCCTTCTAGTCTCTCCTCAAATGTCATTCATCAGAAAGTCTTTTCCTAACCACTGTACATAAAAAAGCAAGCCCCTCCACTCTTTCGGTCCTTATACTGTTTTATTTTTCACCACTTGACATATTATTGTTTGTTTACTCTCAGTCTCTCCTTAACTGTGAGGGCAGGAGCCCAGAACAGTGCCTGGCACGTGGCAGGAGTTCTGTAAAAATTTGCCAAATGAATACATGTCAACTATATTATGCACAGGTATCTCACAAAAACAATGACTGAAAATATTGAATTGTTCCCTCTTATTCCATAATGGAAAATGAATTTGAGAAAGGGTAGGATAGTTGCTTTCAGCTCAGTTATTGCAGTATAATTTTATTACTGCCACTAGAATGGAACTTAATTTGTTCTTAAAGTGAGTAAGAGCTGGCTGATTTTAACTGGAGCAGTTGTTTATTTTTTTTAAAGCCTAATTATGTAACCTAGAAAAACTATGATTCAAAATTAAAACATTAAAGGGCTAACTACAGTAGGACTTCTTGGTGAAGAGTGAATTATATTTAGTTTAGGAAGCAATTTATTAGTATAAGCTCTGAATTTTTCTCATAAAAATGTCACTCTTTTTCCCCAAATGGCATGATAAAATGCTATTTTAAAAGTGTTTCAAACTTTCAGAAAAAAGTGTCTTCTAAAAATATTAGCAAAGTAGGTTTCTTTATAATTATCATCTTCAAAAACCTTCACTAATGGATAGCTACATCTTCACATATGCTTTCATACAAGAATGGAAAACATTGTAGATATGCTGCCTTAAAAATTACACAACTGACTGCTGGACAATTCATTCCCTTAATCATATCTGCTTAAGAGGAAACAAATATAATTTTTAAAAGAGTCCATAGCAACATTTGGGAGTTGCTTTAAGTTGTTAAATAAACAGATTAAAAAAACATACATACAAGGACTTCTCTGAGGATGGATACAGGCTAAATCCTATTCTATAATCCAAGGGACCATTCCAATTCTTTTGTAGTACTACTATTCTGTTGTATCAGATGTAAATCCTATCTAGCAGCACATTACCTGATCTGGGGAATCCTTTTGTTCCTAGACATAGTACTTACTTCCATAAGATTTAGATTACACCAAACAAATGATGTCACTATTTTCATCAATGGATAGTGAAATGAGAAAAATAAGGGCAATGATACATACACACACATACACACAATTATACACATACACTCACTCACACCAGAGAAATATACCTATGTAGATGTTATTTATAGCTGTCAACTTTTCTTTCTTGGGAAGACAGTGCTCTTTTTTAAAATTGTATCTTTCCTAGATTTTTAAAAAATACTAAAATATCCCTTTTTTATGAACTGATGGTAACAGTAGTTGGTTTTTTAAAATGCTGACAACCCTATCCCAATATGTAAAAAAATACTTTTTTTTGAAATTTTACTGATCCATGAAATCAAAAAGTCTGCAAATAATAACGTTCTAATTAAAAAAAAAGAAATCTTAGCTAGCTTCCCTTCTTTTCAGGAAAAAGTCAAACTCCTTACCCTGGCATTCAATGCCTTCTATATTTGCTCTTCTAGCTTTCCTTGTCGTAATGGAACCGGTCAGGGGGTCAGCCCCTGCCTGTCCTCACCTGCTTTGGCTAAGGTCATTGTGGTACTTTCAGCCTCAGTCCTTCTGGCTCCTAGTTCATGACCTTAGCAGGGGTCATCCCTGCACAGCAGAGATGTGCAGGGAAAACCCTAGGAACTCAAATTCCCTGAGTCACTGAGCTGCAACCCTCTCCTGCACACACGGAACTATGCTTTGCTAACACTTGGTATTCCTCCTTGCCATGGGCACTGAAGCTCTGCCTTCAATTCCAGTCAGATGGGGCCCTAAAACACATGCCTATACCACACCGATTTCCTGTTCTCAGGGGCTACATGTTGCATCGAGCCAGGCTCCAAACCCCCAAAGCCACCTGGGACCAAGATGCAGCTATGTGCTAACCATCACATCCCAGGGTTAGACTTGTATTCCAGGAAATTGCTCATACCTCCTCCCACTGGACCATCGCTTCCTTTCCTTCCCTTCTCTCTCTGGCCTGTTAGTACTCAGCAGGCATCTTGGCCACGACTTTGGGGTTATTATCTGTGTTCCTTCAATATATTTACTGCTTTCCACTTATGCACCTTTTCCTAGGATAGACTGTCTGCCCTGAATGCCTTCTCTCTCATTCCATGTCTCCCTAAACATCTCAAAGTCTAACTCGAATGTGCCTCCAAACACTTCATTTTCATTTCTCAACAAGCATTTAGACGGTTCTTGCCAGGCCTGGGGACATAGGGTGAATGACACAGGCCCTGCCCATTGGGAACCGAGTTTACCAGGAGTGAGAGCTGAGGGGAAATTCATCTTACTTCCCTTCCACGAGATAAGCGTCTGAAAGACAGTGTTGTACAACTTCATATAAACATTGTTTTAGGCACAATGGGGCCCTATATGTATTTACTGAGTAAATAAACGGAGAAAATATGACTTTATTTAATATACCTTCAATTCACTCACTCAGTAAGTAAGTACCCATTGTGTGTTAGGAATATCACAGAATTCTGAAAAGGCTTAAAGCAACAGATTCTACCAAAATCTAGTCTCATCATGTCACATAGATCAGGGAAATCTATATCTGCGCACTTAATTTTGGAGCACGGGGTGCTGGGTGCCTTGAAATCAGGTTCCTGCACACACAATTCTATCCTTTAAAGCATATCAGTATTCAGTTATTCAAGAGAACACATCTGACTTCCTAATTTATGGGCAACACCTACCCTTCCTAAGAGCTTATTTTTTTAGTTTTTTTGTTTTTTTTTAAGCTGAGCCATCCTGCTACCTGTTGGCAGCTCAGCGGCAGCTCAGCTCGGGCTGGACTCGAACCGCTGTTGCTCAGAGCTCAAACTCTTGAGCGAGCTCTTAACCAACTGAGCCACTCGGCCGGCCCCAAGAGCTTATTTTTTTTAAACGATTTTTTTCTATCCAACAAAAACATTTATTGGAGGCCTACTACATGCCAAGTAGTTGATATGGAGATATAAAGGTGAGGTTCCCATCCTGGAGGACCTCAATTAATTCAGGGCGCTACACCTGTAAACACAATATTGCTAAAGAGTGGTGAGAGGTTTCAGAGAGGCATTCACAGGTGACCTTCAGAATCAGAAAGAAACAGAAGCAGATTTTCTTTTTTTGAGAATAAATGAACTCTTTGAAATACAATTATCACCTTCTCCTCTAGGAATAGCCTGAGAAAGTGAAAAACTGCCCATCAGCCCAAGGGAAATGGTGAGAACCTCTCCCTGGGGACAGGTGGGCTGGGGCAGAGCGGTCCAGGTGATAGGATGGGCAAACATTGCTGGTCTTACTCCTTCCTAGGGGAGAACTTTGGGAAGGGGGTGGTGATGGACTGGAAGTGTCTTCGCAGAATAGATAACATTCTATTTAGAATGTCTATTTAGAATGGTAAAGAACATTCTAAACCTAAATACAGAAAGCGTTCTTATTACTCATCCATTTTAATTTATCCAAAGCCAGCTACTTCCCAATCAGGGTCCTAATCCAGAGATATAACCCCACATACACCATTCATGGGGGGAAAGGAAACTTTTAGAGAAGACTAGAGAAATGAAGAAGCAGGGGTAAGAAAAAAATCCCCTGAGTATTCCACTCATCTCTCACGAGGTTGCTCTTTCCTTATCATATAGTTAGTTACACATGTCAGAACACAGAGGCCCTAACTATTTGAAACTAAGTTAGCCCCCACTGCATTCATTACATGTCATGTTCTACCTTGTGTTTGGGTTTCATTTTCACAGAAATTCAGAAAAGAAGCCTCTTTCCATCAGAGGACAAAAAATAGTTTCAGCCTGTAATAAACACCCCTCCTCTATGCTATTATGGTCTTCTAGGGTTAACCAATAAACGTTTTAAAAGTGATCATTTCATTTCTTTGGGAAGAATCCTTCTCGAGACAGGACATTATGATGCTCAGCGGTAGACAAATGTGAGGTGTAATGAAAACCTGTCCAGTTCCTAGCAGTTTGAAAACAGGTGAATGATTCATTCTCTTAATGGACTGAGAACATCAACAGAAGATAGCCTCGGAGTTCAAAAATCATGAATGCTAGCAAACTTGAGTTGTGGTTAAGTTCTTATGCTATCAAAGCTGATGGCTCCTGAAGAACCAGGTCTACAGGTGGCATGGAAGAGAAGCTACTGGGAAGGAAAAAAAAATATCCCACAGCATCTCTGAAAGTGAAAACCACCTTGCAATACATTTACATCTCTGCTTTCTAGTTTGTTATATAATTGGTGACTTACTCAGAGATGTCCCATTTGTATCACAGGACAAAAGTCTATGGAGGAAGGACACGCAACCACATCTCAAGGCACTTATTTAACATAACGCGATTTACCTCAAAGTTTTAGTCCCTGAAAAGTCCCATTACCTTGAGCATGCGGATTTCTCTGAGGGCGATTTTCTTTATGACAGGGTCATCTTCCGATTCCAGGAACCTCTTGATGGCCACAATCTGACCCGTGTCCCGGTTTCTGCATTTGAAAACAACTCCATAGGATCCTTCACCAATTTTCCCAATTTTTTCATACTTCTCCATCACAGAGGAATAAATGTTCTTAAAATGGATCTTCACATAGTTTGAAAATGTCGCTTATAAAATACTGGCATGAACGACAAACTGCACTAGGGCTGCACTCGACGATGGGTCTTTGTCAAGGAAGGACCTAGAACTGAACAATAGCACTTGTTAAGAATTAGGAATTGACCCCCATCCTTAAAGCCTCGCCCCTCAGCAATGGCAACTCGACCGAGGGTGGCAGCCTCGTCGTTGGCTGCCTTCGGTAACCCAAGGTTATATACCCTGCAAGTTAAAATGTAATCTGTCATCCTAGTTACAACGAACCGAGTTGTAAGATAACCTGTCTTTTTAATGTTATAGTTCATCCGATCTAAGACATATGAGCTGGCTGTAGGACGGTGAAGGCTAAGGGATTCCCCGGTTCTAATTTCGGATCTGATTTCCTTGGAGCAAGAAGACACCGCAGTGCTCCTCGCGGGGGCGGCGGCGAGGCCCGGGCGGAGCGGGACCCGGCCCTGCGAGGCACCCGCCCCCACGCCCCGCATCTCTGCGGCCGCCCAGGGGCGCAGGCGGGGAGCAGGCCGCGCGGACCCGCCTCTCCCTCCCGGCCGCTGACTGGCGGCCGCGGAAAACGCCGCCAGCGCTGCCCTGGGCTCCCACCCGCGCCCCTGCCCGCGGCGCGCAGCCTCGAGCGGCGCCACGTGGAGGCCCCGGCCGCCCAGCCCAGCCCGCGCCTCCTTCCCACCCGGGACTCACGGCCTCGCGGCTGCCGGGCCTGACCTGCTCCCGCCTAGCCGACTCCTGCCGGCTCCGCTCGCGGCCCGTGGGGCCCACGATCCCTATGGGAACCCGCCCCCGCCGCGGGCTGGCCTGGGCGGGGCCGCGGCGCACCGGCTCCCCTCCTGCACCTGCCCGCGGTCCTGGCTGCGAGAAAGGGCCCTGGTGGGTGGCCCTCGGCCTCTGAAGGAACTGTTCTGACAGTGGGGCCCCGCACGTCCCTCTGCGGTACGGGAGGCCCGCAAGATTGCAGACTCCACTCTTAGGTCAGGGAAAGACGCAGCTGTAGCAGAGCCTGCTGGGAAGAAGCCTGCGCAAGGAGTCCCACCCCCCACCCACCTCCATGCCGTCTGTTTTTCACAGGCACAGCTGGTCCCACACCATGTGACACCTGTGGTTTCTCCTCCTTCCTCTGCTAGCCTGTAAACGCCTTGAGGGCAGCTTATGTGTCTGTCCTGATCAGGAAGAGCATCGAATGAATGAATGAATGAATGAGACAGGCAGAGAAAGCGGAAGAGAGAGGTATGACTGAAATTGGTTAAGGTCAGCACTTTCCTCCGCTGGCTTGGAGGGTAAGGGTGCTCCTTGACCACTGACTTCCATTACAAATGGGTCTCCTCGTTGGGAAACGGAGGCTTATTGAGCCTGCCTTATTCTAGGTTCCTTCTTCCCTTCCTTCTCCTAACTGGCGCCTACTTGCTCAGGTCTGAGCACAATGGTGGGAAATCATGAAATAAGGTAATTCGCCACTGGGCAGACTGCCTCAAATACGTACTTTATCATCCATCCCATTCCATCTTCCCAGCACTGAGGTGGGTGTTTGCCTTGGAAGCGATACCTGAGGAGAGAAAATGAACATACTGTCTTTGAAACAGCGACCCATCCCATGCCAAGCAGCGTACCATTAATGTAAATCTAGATAGGGTTCAGGTGGTAGCTGGAGCTGAGGAGCGTGTAGATAGGGTCCAGGGGTGGGCTAGAGGTCGTCTGTGAACCTCCCAGAAATTGTTTGCAAATGGCAACTAGTTGATGTGTTTCCTGTCTCCATAGTTGTGCTTTTCCAGAATGTCACATAAATGGCATTATACATTATGTAGCCTTTTAATCTAAGCTTCCTTCACTTAACACAGTGCATTTGACGTTCATCTATCTTATTGCGTTTATCAGTAGTGTTTATTACTGAGTAGTAGTCCATTGTATGGATGTACCATAGCTTGTTTATCCATTCCAAGTTGAAGAACATTTGAGTTGTTTCCAGTTTGGGAGATTATAAAAAACCAAAAAACAAAAAACCACTATGAACATTCATGCACATTTGTGTGAACGTATGCTTTCATTTCTCTTGGGAAAATAATACTTAGGAGGAGCACTGCTGTGTCACTTGGTAAGTATATGTTATTGTAAGTAACTACCAAAATACCAAAATGTTTTCCAAAGAGACTACCATTTTACATTCCTACCAGCAATGTTCCAATTGTTCTGCATCTTTGTCAGCACTTAGTATCTTGTGGCTTTAATTTGCATTTCCCAAATGACTAGTTGGATAGTTTTTCATATGCTTATTTGACATCTGGATGTTTTCTCACAAGGTCTAAAAAGTTTTTGTAAGTTCCTTGGGATTTTCTATGTAGACAATCATGTCATCTGCAAATAGGAACAGTTTTAGTTCTTTGTAACTGGTATGCATTTTTGTTTTGTTTTGTTTTGTTTTGTT